GGGATTGAACTCAGGCGCTTGCGCTTGCCAGGGAAGCGCTTATTCCACTGAGCCATCTCCCCGGCCCCCCTTTTTTTTTTGTATTTGATATAATGTCTCATTATGTAGCTTGGACTTGTAATGATTCTCCTGTTTTTAGCCTCTCCAGTGCTGGGATTACAGGTATGCGTGTGCCACCATGACCGAACTCATAGCCAGGCGTACTCAGCGTGTTGGGGGTAGAGCCAGCACAGCATGTGGTGCCAGGGATCAAACACTGGTCCCTATGCCTGCCTAAGCAGGCGCTTAGTCTGTAAATGTAGAATTTTGTCTTAAGTGTTTTGTTTTTGTTTTTTTACATCTGTTGAGATGATCTGTGATCTTTTTCTTCTGTTTATATGATGTCTGACATTTTTTGATTTACCATTTGATGTGTTAAACCAGCCTTGCATCCCAGAGGTGAAGCTTAGTTATGAGGTATGACTATTTTAATGATTTGTCACATTCTGTTTACAAATATCATGTTGTGAGGGTTTTTGCATCTATGTTGATAAAGGAAATTGACCTGTGGTAGTAGTTATTGTTGAGGCCTTATCCTGTTTTGATACTAAAATAATGCTAGCCTTCAAGAATGAGTTTGAGGGGCTGGTGAGATGGCTCAGTGGTCTAAAACACCTACCTAGAACAAGCTAAGCAAAGCACAGGGACCAGGGTTCAATCCCCCAGCACCACATGCCAGCCAGTCCCGCCCCCTGGTGGGCTGAGCTGCCCCCCCCCACACAAATAAATAAAATTAAAAAAAAAAAAAGAATGAGTTTGAAGCCAGGGATATAGCTCAGTGGCACAGTGCCTGCTTGGCAAGTACTGGATTCTGAGTTGAGTTCCTGGTCCAGGAAAAAAAATAATACCTTAGATAAACAAAAATTGAAAATTTTGGGGCTGGGGAGATGGCTCAGTAGAATAAGCACTTCCCTGGCAAGCGCAAGGGCCTGAGTTCAATCCCTGGTTCCACCAGAAAAAAAAAAAAAACCAAGGAATGTTTGGCAGTGCTCCTTCCCTTTCTGTCGTCGAAGAGGAATATTGGTGTTAGTTCTTCCTTGATGTTTTGGTAAAAGTTCAGTAGTGACTCCATCTTGCTTTTATTAGTAAGGTTTTTATTACTACTTCTATTTCATTGCCTGTTCCTGGTCTCGTTAAGATTTTTTTTTTTTTTTTTTTTGGCAGAACTGGGGATTGAGCTCAGGCCCTTGGCGCTTGTCAGGGAAGCTCTTATTCTATTGAACCTTTTCCTGGACCCTACATCTTTGTTGTAGACATTCATATTTGTCTAAGAATGTATTCATTTCTTCCAGATTCTCCATTTTACTGGACTATAAAGTTTTCAAAGTAGTTTCTTTTTCCTTTTCCAAAGTATTTTCTTTTCTTTTTTGCGGAACCGGGGATTAAACTCAGGCCCTTGAGCTTGCCAGGCAAGCGCTTATTCTACTGAGCCATCTCCCCAGCCCCTTCAAAGTATTTTCTTATAATCATGTGGATATCGGTGTCCACTGTAATTTTGCATTTGTTTTTTCCAGTTGCACTGATGATTCTTTTCTTTCATTCTTTTGGTAAGTTTGGCTGTTTATCAAACTTACATATCCTTCCAAATAAGCAAGTCTTTGGTTCATTGATTTTCCATTTTTTAAAGTTATAATTTGATTAATTTCTGCTCTGATTTTTTATAATTTCTTCTACAAGTTTTGGATTGGGATTACTCTTTTTAATTTTTTTATGTGTTTAGTGCAGAGACTACAGGGTCTCACTATATAGATCAGACTCATAGTAATCCTCCTGTTTTCAGCCTCCCAAGTGCTGGGATTATAGGCACGCGCCACCACGCCCAGTCTCGGTGGCTGTCTCAGCACACCCCAGGTGCCAGGGATTGAACTCTGGCCCTTGAGCTCTGCCTACGCAGGTGCTTTAGTCCACTGAGCTTTCTGGCCAGCCCTGGAATTACTCTTGGTTTCCTAGATATATTAGGTTATTTATTTGAGATCAGTTTTGTCTAATGTATGTATTCACAGTTATAAATGTCTTTTAATTGTGTTTCTTGGTTTTGGTATGTTGTACTGCCACTGTCACTTGATTCTGTAAACTTCTTCATTCCTTCTGTTACCATTGATTATTTAAGAATATAATTTAACATCCATGTGTTTGCATAGCTTCTATGATTTATGTTGCTATTGATTTCTATGTTGACTTGATAGTAGATTTCAATGACAGATTTCAGTGATTTTTGTATTTGATTTATGCATGCTTTCTGGCCGAAGATATAAGTCTGTTTTTAAGAAAATTTCATGTGCTTCTGAGAAAAATGTGTCTTTTGTTAGGTGATGTTTTCTGTTGCTGTTTGATAATGTTGGTCTTGCTATCTGTCTGTGATTGTTTTGAATACTTTCTATAAATGCTGGCTTGGTAATAATAAATTTCTTCAGGTGTTCTTTTTCATCTTTATTTCTATTTTTTTTTTTTCCCTTTAATTGAAATAGAGTCTTGCTATGCAGTTCAGGTTGGCCTTGAGCCCACCTGGTCTTGAACTCGCAACAATCCCAGGCTGGTCTTGAACTCGCAACAATCCTTTTTCCTCAGCCTCCTGAGTCCTGGGACTCCAGGTTTGTGCCACTATGCCTGGCTTTCGTCAGTTTTGAAAGATAATTTTGTAGGATATATTAATGTAAGCTGGAAGTTGTTTTCTTTTGGAATTTGAAAAACTTCAGATTTTTCTGGCCATAATGAGTATAGTTAGGCATGTTGTCTTTGAGTTATCTCGAAAGTCTTATATAGCAGCACAAGTCATATTAGCTAATAGCTAAATTATGACAGAGGCCTAGGAGGTGGGAATGTAGCTCAGTGCAAGGCCCTGAGTTCAATTATCAGTACAAAAAAAAAAAAAAAAAGAGGCCTAAATTATCATCAACAGATGAAGAAATTGTGTTGTGGTATACTTCTGCAATGGAATACTGCTAGGCCACGAAATAGGTTATTTTTGGGTCAGTTTTTGGAAAATGGATGGATATTGAGACCACAATGCTAAGTGAAATCATTCACAGAAGGGTAGGTATCATACGGTTTCTCTGATATGAGAGGTCCCAAATATAAATAACAAAATCAAAGAGAGATTGTAGGAAATGGATATAGACTGTGGAAGCAAGAAGGGAATGTAGGAACAGATGGAGGGGAAGGGGAAGGAACAGGAAGTAAAAATGATCAAGCTCTGATGTGTTCCAATTTCACAAGATGAATGTGACTATTACATGTTGCAAACATACTACTAAATACATATATATATATATATATATATATATATATATATGGGGTTTTTTTAGGCTATATTTTTAATAAATAAAATTTTCTGCATGGGTTACATAGTGAATTCAAGGCCAGCCTGCACTATGTAGCAAAAACCTATCTCAAAAAACTTGGGGAGAACACTTGCCTTAAACTCCTGAATATGTCCATCTTATGCTTCATGTCCTCAGTGACTACCACATTGGAGGGTCTGTGGTTCAGCTTTGTGGTGACATCATCAATCTGAGACACAGGGCCAGGGAGATGGCTTAGTGGAATAAGCGCTTCTCTGGCAAGCGCAAGGGCCTGAGTTCAATCCCCGGTTCCAGGAAAAAAAAAATCTGAGACACATTTGTTGGGAAATTTTGATCTAGTATGTGGGTGATAGATTGTGCCTGTGTCAGCAACAGAATCAGGGTGGACGGTAACTTTGACCCTGGAGTTTCACTGAAATCAGCTGACTTGCTCTGTTTTTACTTTTCTGTCCTCAGAATCTCAACCAGAATCCTCGTACTTTGCTGCCTAAATTCTATGGACTGTACTGTGTGCAGGCAGGTGGCAAGAATATTCGGATTGTGGTGATGAACAATCTCTTACCACGGTCAGTCAAAATGCATATCAAATATGACCTCAAGGGCTCCACTTATAAACGGCGTGCCTCTCAGAAAGAGCGAGAAAAGCCCCTACCAACCTTTAAAGACCTGGACTTCCTACAAGACATGCCTGATGGTCTCTTCTTGGATGCTGACATGTATAATGCTCTGTGTAAGACCCTGCAGCGTGACTGTTTGGTGAGTCTGTTACATTTTCTGTCAGACACCAAATTTTGGCAGTAGGTGGGGCTGTGTTCCTTCATTGTGTGTCCTAGACTGCATATGAAGTGACTTAAACCAGTTCATAGCAGTGCCATTCCATTTTGTCCCTGTTTATCCTCCCCGTTGGGGGGCCTGGCCTTAGCTCAGTTGTTAAAGTGGCTGCTTCCACGAAGCTGTCAGCCTCAGGTTGCTGTAGTTTGATCCCCACAACACTCCAGCCAGCCAAACCACCCCTGAGGGCATTCAGATCAAAAAAAAAACAAAAAAAAACAAAACCCTTATATCCTCCCCATTGTCTTAACTTCCTTGTTGAGTTAGTCTGGATTGTGTAGTTACACATATTTGTAAGCCAGCACCACAGTTCCTCGTATTTGGTCTTCTGGCCATGTTTGTAAATTGGCAAATGAATGTTGCTAAATAACACCACAGCAGTGTGTACTGGTAGTCTCTACTGTTGATTGACATTCAGTCTCACCTGGACCTGTAGCGTTGCTTGTCCTGTGTCCTGTTCTCTCTAGGGATTCCAGGTGTTTGGCACTTTGTTTAGACCACATTCTCACTCTCCTTGCTCCAGCTTTGTTTCTGAAAAGACTACCTAAACTTTCCATCTTGTTCCATGACTTTATGCTGCTTTTGTTACCTTTTTTTTTTTTTTTTGCAGTACTAGGGATAGAACTCAGGACCTTACGTTTGCCAGGCAGGCATTTATGTCACTGAACTATCTCTCTGGCCCTGTTACCAGTTTTTTTTTTTTTAATTTTTTTAAATTTTTAGGTTTACAAGGGCTTTCAGGGTCTGACTACTAGATCCGACTCGACTCGTAGTGAGCTGCCTGTTTACAGCCTCCCAAGAGGTGGGATTGCAGGCGTGCCACCATGATCAGTCTCAATTACCCTCTCAGCACGCCCCAGGGGCGGGGCCGGCACAGCAGGCCTGGGGATTGAACCCCCAACCCTGTGCCTACTTGCATGCGCTTTAATCTGCTGAGCTGTTTGGCCAGCCCTGTTTGTGTTTTTGATACCTCTCCTTCCTCTAGTTTTCATTCCCCTGCTGGCTGTTTTTGTCAGTGTACCAGCAAGCTTATCAATCTTTAGCTTAGGAGGATTTTTATTTCCCTGATGCTTCCATTTTTTCTTTTTGTTGTATTTTTTTTTTTTTTTTTTTTTTGTGGAACCAGGGATTGAACTCAGGCTCTTGCGCTTGCCAGGGAAGTGCTTATTCTACTGAGCCATCTTCCCAGCTCCCTCCTGTTGTATTCTTTCTTTTTTTTTTTTTAATAATCATTACATATTTTATTTTATTTTTTTATTTATTTCTTTCCCCCCTGTTGTATTCTTACTTTAACTCATTATGTCATATATTAACTTTTGTTTGTTCTCACCACTGTGTAGAACCGTTCTCTCCAGTGACTACCTGGATGCTAAAGAGAGAATACTTCTCCATCTTCCTCAGGTTTTTGGTACTATTTGACAATAAACTGGTTTACATTTTCTTAAGATAATCATCTTTTTTTTTAATTTTTAAAAATCATTTATTTGATACACGGTCTCATGTAGCTTGGATTTATAGTAATCCTCCTGTCTCAGCCTCCCCAGTGCTAGGATTACAGGTGTGTGCCACCACGCCTGGCTTTGGTGGCCAGCACAGCGTATGGTATTGGGGATCAAACCTGGGTCCTTGCACTTTCCAAGCAGGTACTTAGACCACCAAGCTATCTCCCCTGCTCAATTGGTTTTTGTTATACCTTCCCTGTTGATTTTTTTTTTTTTTTTTCAGAACTGGGGATTAAACTCAGGCCCTTGCGCTTGCCAGGCAAGTGCTTATCCTCCTGAACTATCTCCCCTGCCCTTTTTAAATTTTATTTATTTATTTGCGGTACCGGGTATTGAACTCAGGATCTTGCACTTGCCAGGGAAGCACTTATTCTATTGAGCCATCTTCCCGTCCCCTATTGATTTTCTACCTGTTTGTTTCTTCTCAAACTGCTCTTGTAAGATCATTTTCTTCTACTCAGGCCATAATGTTGGCCATTCTTAACATTGTTTACGTCTACGGCCATACCACCCTGATGGCTCCCGATCTCATCTTAACATTGTTTACTCTACATTCACGTCAAAGGTAATGTTTATTTTAGTTTGTTCCCTCCCCCCCCCCCCCCCGAAAAAAAAATGAAAAGGCAGTCTTTGGGCCTGGAATTTGGCTCGGCAGCACAAGTGCTTCCCTGACAAGAGCACAGTCCTTAGTTTGATTTCTGGTACCAGAAAGAAAATAGTTTGTCTCCTTTAAATGCAAGAGTTAGAGACATACTCAACCAATGGGACCAGATTTTTTTCCATTTTTTTTTTTTTTTTTTTTTTTTCCAATTCTTATAAAAGAATCTATCCTAGATCCCAGGTTCCATACACCCCCCCCCCTTTCTCTCTCTCTCTTTTTTTTTTTTTTTTGGTAGAACTGAAGATTGAACTCAGGCTCTTCAGCTTGACAGGCAAGTGTTTATTCTACTGAGCCATCTCCCTGGCCCCTCTCTCTCTCTTTTTTAATGTATCTGGTACAAGGTCTCACTGTGCAGCGTGGACTCATAGTGATCCACCAGTTTTTGAGCTTCCCCAGCGCTGGGATTACAAATGTGCACCTGGGGGTGGGGTCAGGCTGGGGCCAGCCTGGCATGCGGTGCTGGGGATCAGACCTCGTCCCTGTGCTTGCCTAAGCAGGCTCTGAGTATGCTGAGCTATCTTGCTGACCCGTGTGTATGTGTGTGTGTGTGTGTGTATGTGTGTTTTGGTCAGTCAGTTGGTCTGTTTTTTTTCTTCCTGATTTTTTTAAGACAGGGTCTTGTTATGTAGTTCAGGCTGGCCTTTAATTTGTGGCAATCTTTCTGCCTTGCCTTCCTGAGCACTGGGATTATAGGAATATGCCACCATGCCCAGCCCTTTCTTACTTTCTTCTGCTCTTCACCCCCCCCTTTTATTTTTTTATGTATTTAGTACAAGGTCTCACTGTACATGTCAGACTTGTAGTGATCCTCCTGTTTTCAGCCTCTCAAGTGCTAGGGTTATAGCACACACCCCACGCCCAATCTTAATCACCATCTCAGCGTGCCCCAGAGGCGAGGCTAGCAAGGCATGCCAAGGATCAAACACCACTGCCTGTGTCTGCCTAAGCAGAAGTTTTAATCCACTGAGTTATCTGGCCAGCCTCTATTCTCCCTCTCTTCTTTCTGACTCCCTTCCTTGATACTGGGGTTCAAACCCAGTGCCTCACACAAGCTCCCTGAGTTACACTCCCAACCCACAAATTCTAAGTATCTTTATGTCCCTATAAATAAGCACAGTGCCTACTCATGATGGATTCAATTAATGTTAAAATAAACTGAAACTGACCAAAAAAGGTTCTGGGACAAGAAATAATTTTATGAGATACTCTTATTACGGATTTTTTAATAGCACCAATAGGCGTTCCTTATTATCTTGAGAACATAGTGTTCTTTTTGTGAAAAGATGGAAGAACAGAGAGGGTCTGCGAACTAGGCAACAAAACTTGAGAGTCATCAGGGGGACTAAAAAACTCTTCAGAGAATAGATCAGAGGATAATCCTAGAGTTAGCCTTGGAGGTTCTCCACCAAGAAGAATGAAATCGTAAGACCACCCCCCCAAAAAAAATCCTGATAATTCCCAGGGCTTAGATCATCTCTTCTGTCCATTAGGTGCTTCAGAGCTTCAAGATAATGGACTACAGTCTCTTGATGTCAATTCACAACATAGATTATGCACAACGAGAGCCTTTAAACAGTGAAACACAATACACAGTTGACACTCGTAGACCAACCTCCCAAAAGGCCCTGTATTCCACAGCTATGGAATCCATCCAGGGCGAGGCTCGACGTGGTGGCACCATGGAGACTGATGACCAGTGAGTGGGCTTGGGACACCAGGGCGGTGAGGAGAAATGCACAACACTTGCTTATGGAAAGCACCTAACTTCTAGAAAGAAAGTAACTTTGAGGCAGCAGTTAAGCCAGCAATATAAATGCTTGTAGAATCATGGAATGAGCTTTCTTAAAAATATGAAAAGAAAGGAAAATGGCTTCAATTTGGCGGTTTTAAAACATATGGGAAAGAGAGCTATATAGGATAAAGAGACTTAAATTATTATGTTCAAAATGTTAGGGGTGTGTGTGTTAATTATAACTTTATCACAGCTCATTATAGACTCCTTTGTGGAAGGCAGCTTCCTTACAGTCATTGAGTTCAATAAATTTAGGTTTCTCAAATACCCTATATCGGTTGAATGATTCCACATTAGGTATCCCATAATGTGACTTTATTTATTTATTTTTTTTGTGGAACTGGGGATTGAATTTAGGCCGTTGCACTTGCCAGGGAAGAACTTATTCCACTGAGCCAACTCCCCAGCCTGCCCTTAATGTGACTTTAAAGAAGAATGTCTTGGGCTGATGAGATGGCTCAGTGGTCTAAAGCACCTACTTGGAACAAGCTTGGCAAAGCACAGGTACCGCGGTTTGATCCCCCAGCACCACATGCCAGCCAGCCTCCCCC